ACGACATTTTCCTCACGCGCCAATGAAATCATCGCTGGTTGACGCTGTCGGTTCAAGTTCAAAGCAAGATTAGCAGTTTTGTGTGTAGCGAAGTTGTACGTGGGATTTTTTAGGTTGTGTGTTGTTGAATAAATAAAGCGTGATTAAGAGGAGAATACTGCGGCATGACAAGTGTTTTGTAATGTCTTTTTCTAGGTAAGATGTTAATAAAGCGACCGGCTTTAGGTATTTAATTTGATTTTCTATGCTAAACGGGCGTAAATAGTGAAAAGGTTGTCGTGATTTGCACGACAGAATTCACAGGTTTTGTCTATGAAGGCGTATTGGCCCTAAAATATACATCAAGATATATTTTTTACGGGCACAATTTATTGGCCTCTAGACTATAGGCTCTATACTTATTAGTAGTGACTTAGTGAGTAGTGTTCACATCCTAGTTGGGACGCGCGTATATATAGTCACATATACGCGTTACACCGTAAATGGTTGTTGGGCTCGAAGCAAATGGCGCCTAAATTTGGCTCGGCCTGTTAGTCGAGCTATTCACGAACGTACGCAGTGAAATACCCGTACTGTCTGTCAATTTCAAATTCAAAAATAAATTTTATTGCACAAATATTCACAGCATACTTTGGCAGTATGTCGCGAGATGACAGCGTTTGTGTCGATTAAGGATAATAGGGAGGCAAATGCAGAATTGCGGCACAAAGTCTAAACGGTCGGCCCTAGGCTCACCTCTAGTGATGAGTCGGTGTATGGCATCATGGTTAGGAAAACGGCCATCACTGCTGCCGAATTGGAGGGCCAGCAGGTCAAAGGTCAATGGGGCAGCAGGGCAGATATTTAGACATTTTCTGAGGACATAGGTCTGGCAGAACGATTAAAAACTTCTTTGTCTTCAGCGGCTGACCTAGCATTTTTATTTTTGGCTTTATATTGAAAGGACCAGAAATGGTGCTCTTTCCAATGACGTGCGAAGAGTAAGTGTCTGATAACCTTTTGACCTCAAGAGGAGGGTTAAAGCATGGATTTGTTTACTGTGAGAAAGAATTTGACTGCCGGGTTGCTAGTTTAGAACTAATACATGCTTGGATGTATGAGCCTACATTCCACAGTGAAATTTCAAAAGCTAAATTTGTGTTGAAGAAGGTTTATGCTCCTTAAATGTGCTAATTTTTTATGGCATTCTGTTACTGTCAGTGTGTTACGTGTAACCGTATGCCACATTGCAGTGGCCACTGCCAGTGCATGTGGTGGTGCCATATACTGTGTTTTTTGGCCTGCGTTAATATTAGGTTAGCCAGGTGGCAGCTCTCATTTCAGGCCTGTCAGCTTGCGTAGGTAAATGGATGAGTGCTTACTATCTCTCGTTTGCAAATAGTTGTTTGCTACTAATACGATGGGGAGCTTCATCTTTAATCTTAAGAACACTTAAACGTAACGGGCGCCATCTCGTGGCAACCTTTCATAACGATCCAACGAAACATTCCTTTGAGAAAGGTCCTGATACTATCCTGTGCCTTCCACTGTTTTCGGCGCGTGTGTGAAACACATTTGGGACAACCAGGGGTTTACTAGAATCCCACCAACTGCCACCACAGAGTCCCAGCCCAGTAGACGTTAGATGAGCGCTCAGAAATCCTGGACCAGTGCCTACTGACCAGGACCAGTACTTCCTCAGAGGTACTGGTCCTGCTGGACCAGTGCCTCCAATTATTAGTTTTTCACCCTGCAACCACATCTAAAAATAAGCATCGAGGCCTGTAAATTATAGCTCATTTTCCCACATGGGTATGACAGGTCAATTTGCCAAGTCTCAAACTCGCCAATTATTCGTTTTAGTGCTCATCAACCAATAGCGCCAGACTAGAGCTGGACAATCCTAGTTTAGCACCCCGAATTAGTTTAGCATCTATAGGCGCGTTCACACGGACGTTTTTAGCTCGAGCCTAATTGGGCCCTGGCCAAATTACGCTCGAGCCGAGCGTTAACACGGACGGTTTTTCGGGGCCATGCCAATTTGGCACGAGCCAATTTGGTCCCATCGAAAACGTCTGACCAGGCCCGAGCCAAATTTTACCACCAGCTAAATCGGTAGAGCGGTAGATGTCGCGAGTGTTGAACGTGTACTTCAACGAAATAAAGTCCAAAACAGTAAAAAAAATCGAAAAATTTGATCAGGATGCACGTTTTCAAGATTGATAATTGAACTCGGAACGGAAGTAAACACTCTGAATCGTACACAATGCTGACATCTCGCGACATACTGCCAAAGTATCTGTGAGATATTTGTGCAATAAAATTTATTTGAATTTAAATTTGAATTTGACAGACAGTATTCACTTGCGTACGTGTGACGCTCCGACTCAAACCGGCCCGAGCCAAATTTAGCCCGAGCCAAATTTAGCCCATTTGGCTCGAGCCAAACCATTACCGTGTAAACGCGGTATATCATATATGTGAACTATATATACCGCGGTTCCAAACTAGGATTGAACACTACTCACTAGTACTACTACTAGTAGTAGAGCCTTGTCTAGAGGCTATACGAGAGAAAACATCCATCAACACAACAACAAACAGTCAAACATTACACAAACTGTTTATTTGCCACGACTTTAATTATTGAAACGGCCAAACTTTCTGTGCTTTGTGCTCTTACTTACAAATTTGACTCTTAACGGGCCAGATTCAAACCAATGTTCATACGCATCGATCGTATTCATCAAACACACAAGGTGAAGGTAAACAACTAAAATTTACAACAGCAACCATCTTCCATTGATGTTGTAGATGGCAACTTACGCCGCAAACATGTAAGCTGTGTAATAGAGGCTAAAGATGGTACCCGTCTTACAGCTTCGTACTGAAGCAAGCACATGACTTATTGACAAAGTTTATAAACATTAAAAACGTTTTAATTTAATTTTAAATATTACTTGAAAAATTACAAGATATCAAAGAAAGTGTGTAAATGTAAAATGTGCACGATTAGAAAGCAAATAGCGCGAATACTCATTAAAATTAAATAAATAAACTTTTTCGGCGTTCTTCACAGGCTGCACATGCAGTGCACAGGCACTTGAAGCGTTACATCTGTAAACACACGCCGCCGCCATTGCTACTGCGCTGCACACGGTCGCTGTCAGTGCTGCCAAGCGCAGGTAGCAATGGCGGGCTGCGTGATGTTTAGGTGTTGAGCACAGTAGAGGGCGTCCATAGCTGCAGGCCTGAATAAGGCATCGAACAGAAATTAATTAAAACTACTCACACTGTTACTGCACTTACAAAACATCACTTTACTCATGTTAAATAAATACAGCATTCGTGCTCTATGCTCGCCTCGAAACTTTTTCCAGCTCTATGACGCGAATTTCTACAAAGTAGTCGGATCACATTTCCAGAAATCGCCACGCGTAGGATTAGGGTTAGGGTTAGGGTTAGGGTTAGGGTCACGTTGCAGTGAATGCACCATAAAACAGGAGTTTGAGGCACGTGATTTGTATCAACCAATGGCAGCGCTCGTTAGAGCCCTATGTTCTTGATTGACCTAGGAAAAAAAATCACGCGAGCCGCGCGCCCGAAAACGGGCAGTAACCCTTTTATTTTTGTGCTAGTGTACGTGTGCTCTGGTCGTAGTATGTACGACGTGTAGTTTTTAGTGTATAGAAACTACCGGATCTGCGCTTCTTTTACCGGGTGTAAGCGCAGTTGTTTTTATGTGAATACGTAATGAGATGCTACGTTTTATATGTCAATATAGCATCGATTATTTGAATATCTAATGAGGCAATTTTTATGTGTGAACCAGCCTCAAGCCTATGTTTATATATGTGTGAAGTAAAATCTTAATACGTCAACACTACTTCAACTCTTCAGAGTTTTATTCTGTACGTAACTTTTCCTCAAAGTAGCTGCGCGTTTAGCTAAGCACGGCAAAGAACCTGCGGTCAAGACATAGTAACACAACGCAAGACTAACCAAGAACAATTATACTATACGATCATCCGATCTGAACTCCATTTCACCTGGGTAACCAGTCATGATACCGGGGTAGCCGGTCTGATCTCCTGACACCAGGACACGCGCTGATTGCTTTCCCTGGTTAATTACTACGGCAGCTGCACACTATGCACGCAAGCATTAATTGCTGTAAAACTCGTCTCTCTCAGGTCTGGTGCATAAATGGGATTTACACTGCACAGGGATATGAACTGTTATTTTTACCAGGACCAGGACATCACATGCAACATATGTCACCTATGCGTACAAACACTAAAAGCAAATCACTGTATATATAATGTACGTTCTTACGCGCACCGGATCTCTGACGTCCCGGTTCATGAACTAGCTCTGACCTCATCATATTTGCACGAATAAAAGAGAATTGCAGTAAATTAGAAATTCGATTGTTTACAAACTGAGTTGTTGAGGACATATATGTGAGGTGAGTGTAAGAGATTGATGTAGGAATAAAGACAGTGTGAATATAACCGATTAAAACCTGATTGTTGAAGCACGTGCCAATTTAAAGAAATTCTTTGGAGAAGGGAGATATGCATCCACCCTGTGACTTCTGTTTCTTTTAAATATAAAACAAGATGATTAAAGGGATAGTAGACTCTAGGATTTTACTGCATACAACTGTACTTACTGTATAACAAATCGTCTATACCCACACATACTTGTTACCAGATATCTAATTTAATTGTTATAATTAATTATATACATCAACACTACGAAATTTGAACGGCGCCATTGACACCCGCGACCGTGCTGCCACCCTGAAAAAGTTGCGCATTTGCCAATTTATTTTGCACGTTACAGATCGAGGGCTAATAACAAAAGTGCAATTATATTTATACCTAAATGCTATTTAACCGAACGATGTTCATTTTAGTACAAATTTATCCATAATATAACTGAAACTATATGTCGTTTATAAGATATTACAATCCTTTTGCTTTTAAATTAATAAAATTAAGAAACAACCTCGGTCTGTAGCCCTTGGCTGAAAATTCGTTTTGCGCAACTTATCAGATCGTGCGCTTTGAGTGGCGCCACCGTCGTTGTAATCAAACTGTAGTCGTTAGTTTTAAAACAAGATCGTGATATCTTGTGTCCTGATATCCTTGGGCTAGTAATAGCAATGGCGTTTTTTTGTCCCTGTTCGTCCTCATACTGAATCTGTTTTGATCATGGCGGTATATGATATATATATTATACATCAAAGTAATTACTGTTATATATGATATATATATATATTATATTATATATTATATCTAATTCTATATTTGATTGTATGTATGCTCAGTCCTATGCCGGCCAAACATCGCCCAAACGATTCTGGATGCAATTTTTCCAGAGGCGATTTTCGCTATACACGGGAGTGTTCCTAGACAAAAAAATTCCGTTAAAACGTGAAATCTCAGCGAAAAATCCGTCAAAAATCCGTCAGTTTTCGTGAAACTTCAGACAATGTCAGCACTCAACTTGGCTATAGTGCTGCCACCACAGAAAAATCGAACATATTTCTTTCCCTCCTCATCAGCTGCGTGGTACTTTGTGAAACCTGAAAACCAATACTAAAACACGAGCACAACCAGGACCAGTTCAGTCTCCTTGCTGGCCTGTCTCTATCTATACCTACGTATATGATAGAGATTTTCTTGTTATTCATGGTACTCTTGACAATGGATAGCTGTACGTGGGGGAGCTCCAGAGTTGAGACGCAAGAATCTCTACATCATTTGCACTATAGAGAATAAGACGAAAAATCATTGTTTTCATTCAAAGGCTTTGACATGAAAGAGTGCAAACCTATTAGACTGCTGTTAATAATAACTTTTGTCATTTACACACCCCTATTAACTATTATTATCAGGGATTCTAGGTTGGCATTGATGCTGTCAATACTAAATGTCATTACTAAGACAGTTTTTTTCTTAATGCTGTAGTTTATCGTTATTAGATTAGCTGATTGTAATATTGATATTGTGTGCAATGTTATTATCGTATTTTTACGCCAATCGTTTCTCATTGTGTCCGATTATTAGTACGTATGAACTAGTAAGACGATTTTCCCAGCGCAGCGGGTCACCGCACTAGTCATATATATATATTATATATATATATATATGTTGTGTGTGTACCGTCAAGTATATATATCTATTATAATATATATATATATATATTTTTATATAATAATATATTTATATATTAATTCAGGAAGCGTATATATGACAAATATTTTGTCATTCTTTGTCATTATTTTCCATTATTGTCAAATATATTTGTCATTTATATCGCTCCTGAATATTTATATATATGTGTGTGTGTGTGTGTGTCGCCGTGCGTGCGCGGTGCGGCGTGTGTGTGCGTGCGTGCGTGCGTGTGTGTGTGGTGCGTCGCGTGCGTGTTGTGTGTGTTGCGGTGTGTGTTGTGTGTGTGTGCGTCGTGCGTGTGCATGCGTGTTAGTGTGTGTGTGCGGTGTGGTGTGTGTGCGTGTCGATTGCTGCGTGCCGCGTGTATGGTGTACGGTGAAGTTGCGTGCGTGTCGTGTCTGTGTGTGTGGCTGTGTGTGCGTTGTTGTGTGTGTTGGTGTGTGTGTGTTTGTGTGTGGTGTGTGTGGTGTGTGTGGTGTGTTTGTGTGTGAGTGGTGTGCGTGTGTTGGTGCGTGTGTGTGTATGTGTGTGTGTGTGTGTGTGTTTGTGTGTGGTGTGTGTGTGTGTGTATGCCGTGCGTGCGCGGTGTGTGTGCGTGGTGTGTGTATGTGTGCGCGTGCGTGTGTGTGTGCGTGCGTGAGTGGGTGTGTAATCATTTTTAATGTAAATGTTTCTGTTGTTTTCTTCTCTATTAGAATAAAAATACCGACACGTCACGTCATATATATCATATATACTTGGAATAAATATATATATATATATATATATATATAATTATATAAATTGTAGTCCCTGTACGATAAATAAAGACAATCACATCACTTATAGCTGTTACTTGTCCCGAGTTTCACTGCTTACGCGAGTCTCAATCCGACCCAAACTTTAATGAGAATCAATATATAGTATAATATATATGATATATCATATATGATAATTATCGTGCCCTCCCAGCCTGTGGTTCAATCATTTCGTATCGCTCATGACAAATCAGTACTGAAAACAGTACCAACGCGGTTACTGTTTCTGCCATTGTAACGCGTATAAGTCTGGAAAACCGTTAATATCGTTTAGTTTTGTTTGGTTTGTTGTAAACATATATACGCAACTCTACTGCTAAAATTAATGTATGCCTATGTTGGAATTTGAGCCGAGGATAGAAAGCGAAAATGCATGACGAGTCCGGTGCCAAAGGTTTCGTGTGAAGTCTCTATAATTCTCTTGAAGTTCTGGATTATATCATCACTTAGTACGTAGATATTAGTACGAGTATATTAGTAGTATAGTACGAGTATTACGAGTATATTAGTACGAGATTACGAGTATTAACGAGTATATTAGTACGATAACAAATTTGGCGTGCGCGCCGAAACGTTCTATGGTGTTTTAGGTTGGTTGCTGTATCGCACTGATCTCTTACTGATACTACTGTAGAGTCAGTGTGTTCTCCACACTCACCTCACCCAACGATAACTCACGATTTCCTTCATTAATATGAGCTGCGTCGCGCACCTAGTGATTCCAATCTAAAGTACTATAATCAGCAGGTCAGAGCACGGTATAATTATAGCCGAGAGTGTCCGCTTCCGTACTCCTTCGAACCCGTGCCACGTATAAGTTCTCACGCGAATACGAGCTGGGGCCCCTTCTGGAACGTTCCCGAATTACATTCGCTACGTGTCTAGAACGCGATTTTTCGATGGTAAAGTGACTTACTTTGAGGAATTTTCTAAAAAGTTATGTGCCCGAAAAACTTTCGGCATCTCCGAA